ATGCTTGAAATGAATCAACGAACTACGTGAAGCGTCGGAGTTTCAAAATAACGAGGATACGAATTGATCGAGAGCCCCACGTCGCCTACAAAAGGTTCCACGCCCCTCGTGTCCCAGTTGATTCCACGGATGATCTAATCATTGGAGCTTATAGAACTCCTCGTCGGCTTTCCCACGCACTTGGAATCACTCAAATCCGAGTTCGGACGAAGAATTTACAGCGGAAGCGGACAAATAGGCATAACGGAGTGTCTCGGCCCAGTTTGAGACACCCTAGGGTGTCCGCACAAGTTGGAGACACCCCAGGGTGTCCACACAAGTTGGAGACACCCCAGGGTGTCCGCACAAGTTGGAGACACCCCAGGGTATCCACACAAGTTGGAGACACCCAAATGTGTCTTGGAACTTGTGAAGCTGTTTTGACCATGATACCGTTAGAATCTGAAGAAACTCAAAACAGGAAAGTTGTAGATATTTTTGTCAGATTTCCAATCCATCTGGAATCACGTCATTTTGAGGTCATATGAGGAAGTTATAACGAAAATAGCGCCGAGACACCCAAAGGTGTCTCGGAAATTGTGAAGCTGTTTTGACCATGATCCCGTTAGAATCTGAAGAAACTTAAAACATGAAAGTTGTAGCTCTCTTTGTATGCTTTCCAATACATCTTGAATCATTCAAATCCGAGTTCGGATGAAAGAATTAAAGCCAAAATACTGAAGAGGGTACAAACTATCTCGGATTTTGGGAGACACCCTAGGGTGTCTCGGATTTTGTGAGACACCCTAGGGTGTCTCGGATTTTGGGAGACACCCTAGGGTGTCTCCACCGCGGATTTGTGCCCTTTAGATGGTTTTAACCGCTCCGCAACCCCTCAAGCCTATAAATACAAGCCCCAGGCCCTCATTTTTTCAGATCTGGAATTTTGGAGAATTGGCGAAGCCCTGCCGGAGTGAAGAGTGATCGAGCATTTCAACGCAAGAGAGTTTCTTCGTCAGATCTACATCACCCGTACCCGATCCTTAGTCTTATCCCGTTGTGGTAATACTAAGAAGAGCAAATATCTCGCTTTTATCGAGATAGGCGCTTCAAGTTTCTAGATCTCCTCGCGGATCGACGAAGCTCTGGACCAGATCTGATTGCCAGGTAGTCCACGGATATCGACGTCCCCGTCACAGGCTAAAGACCCACGCAAGCAAGAGACGACGAACGGATGTTGTGTTTATTTTCAAGAAAGTTGTAATCTTTTTATTCTTTGTTGTTTGAATTTCATTTGTAATATTTGAAGTTTAATGAAATCAATGATGAATGCAACTTTCGACGAAAAACAGGTATATATATTTATATATTATATATATATATATATATATAATATATATGATTAATAATATACTATATATATATATATCATATATATAATATATGTATTATATATATATTTATATCTTCTATATATATATGTATATATGTATATATGTTTATATATAATATAAATGTTATATTATATATAGTATATATATATATATTATAAATGTATACTATTTACATTATATATGTATACATCTATATATTATTGTAATACTATATATATATATATATATATATACATAATATATATTATCATGTATACATATACTACATGTATTAGTATACATATATATATATAATATGTTAACATATATATATATATATATATATATATATATATATATAATTATATTTATATAATTATATATTATATATATAATATAGAGAGAGAGAGAGGAGAGCAAGACTCCTACTAACTTAATGTTGATGTCCACCAAAGTTTCTAGGCCACACATATCATTAATATAAACACCTTTCTATATAGATACATGGATCCCTAGGCAATGATAGTGGTTAAAAACTTTGTGGACACACTATTTGCTATCGCACTTAAGGTTGATAGGATTATATATATACATATCTATATAATATAATATCATATATATATATTATATATTATTATATATTATCTATTATATATATGATATATATATATTATATATATATATACCTATATATATATATAAGTATATAGTATCTAACATATATTATATATATATATATATTATATTGTGTATATATATATTATTATATATATATGTGTGTATATATATTATATATAACTATATAATATATTATATATATATATATATATATATATTATATATATATATATAATAGTATATATATATATATACATGCGTTTCACACGTGGGCGGATTTATGCGTACGCACTGAGGGTCGACTTGGGTTTTTTTTGCATAATAACAAATCAAGTGCGATTGAAATCAAGTGCGATCCTCGTGACCATTTATTTCGTCTCCGACTCCATTTTATTCAGCCTCTCTCTCTCTCTCTCTCTCTCTCTCTCTCTCCCCAAAAAAGCCCCGACTCCTCCTCCTCCCTCTCTCTCGTCGGCGCCCCTGAGAGAACCAAATCAACAGTCGGAGTTGGAGATCCCTCCCTACCTTCCTCCTCTGCCAACGTCACCCCCCCAAATCCGAGCCCCAAAACCCCCAACTCCGATCAACAGCGTAGTAAGCGAAACCCCCAAAATCGACGCCGACTACGCTGTTGATTTCAAATCCTCGACGGAGCTCCCCCAAAATCGACGCCGACTACGCTGTTGATTTCAAATCCTCGACGGAGCTCCCCCAAAATCGACACCGACTACGCTGTTGATTTCAAATCCTCGACAAAACCCCCAAATCCGACGAGTACCCAACTCCGCCGCCGACTACTGGTCTCCCTCGACGAAGTACCCAACTTCTCTTCTTCGATCAGCCGCCCACCCGCAGCCTGTAAGTTTTCCTTCTCAAAAACACCAATCTTTTTCCCCTCGGTTATTTCGTTCTTCGTTTTGTAATTTATATTAAGTTTGTGGGGGAGTTCTTCAATCATTTGTTAGGTTTTTTTTCCTTAAAAGTCGGATTTTTGAGTGGTGCTTTGGTAATTTGAAACCCTAATTTCTTATTTTCAGTTTACAAAATTTTCAGTTCATCAACCAACAATTATCTGAATCATGTTTAACTGTGAATTAGTATTTCATCAACCAACAATTTTCTGTATTTTATCTGTTATTTTTGTTTTTGCTGGAATAATTGATGCAATGGAAAAGAAAACTGTGGAAGATTGAAATGGCAGTTAGTTTAATTTATGCAAGGGAAATTTTTTTTTGTGTTGAGGGTCTAACCAGAGGGATAAATAGGATAGGAGGAGATGGATGACATGCTTGGTAAATGAAAGTAATTTACCCGGAGTATGAAAGTTGAAAATTGATGCAAATTTTGTTGTTTTGTTTTGGTTGTAATATAATATCAGGCTTGTGTTGGAAACTGAATACCAAAACTTTTATTTGCTTTGGTTGTAGTATAATCATCACTCTTAAGTTGGATTTCAAATTTGACAGATGTATTACAAGTAAAAAAAAGTGAATGCATATGTATTAAAGGTGACAATTTGAGTATAAAAGTAACTTAGAATATATATCTATAAAAGTTCATTTTGCAGTTAGTTTAATTTTACTCGAATTATAAATTTCTCCTATGTCTCTTTCCAGCACATGTATATGTTAAATTGTTCAAAATTGGCAGATTGAAATGGCTTCATCATCAACTGTGGAAGGTAACTCATGTGTTGAAGTTGATATTAGATTCATATTGAAACAATGCGAGTGTGGTGAATTAGCGGATGTGAAGATAACGAAGTCGAACAAGAACAATAACCGTGGTAGAATTTACTACTCGTGTAAAAGGCAAAAGTGCGGCTCGTTTTTGGGCTGGTGCAAGATTTCATCAGTTGAACAAATACCACTCGTCATTGCCCCACCAGAGGCGCGTGACGTGGTTGTTGTACGTGAAAAAGTGTTGTGGAAATGGTTAACTGTTATAGCTTTTTTGTTGTCTTTTTCTTTGGTCATGAAAGAAATTATGTGATGTGTTGGAATGAAACAAGACTTTGTAAGTGAGGAAATTATGTGTTGTGGAATCGGTATTTTGTAATGCTTCACACTTTGATGTGTTGGAATGAAACAAGTTTGTTAATTATTGCTTTTTGTGTTGAAATAACCGTGGTGTGTCTTCAACTTCTTTTAATTATTTCATTCGAGGAATCAGAATTACAAGAAGGTAGGCTTTTACCATGTTACAGAGTTGATGAGCTTGCTGGAGAACTGCTTGTGTACTGAATTAATGCTTGTGTACTGAATTAATGCAAGAAACTGCTGGAGAACTGCTTGAGAACTGTGGATTTGTGTATTTACAGGAAATTTTGGCAGTGATATCCATATAACCGAAGGCAGCATCAGACTCAGGTAAAGATCCCTGAAGAATGGGAAATAAATCCACACCAAAGTCGTCAAAGTTCTCTTTATCAGCATTCTGTTAAGAAAATATATATACATATAACTTCATATGAGCATAGAACAGGCTGGAATAAAATACAAGAAATACCATGAGAACAATGATAGGTTGTTCATGCATGCCAATTTACCTAAAGTTGAGTTCTGGTTTTTCCACCGGATAAAAGCACAACATTTGAGAAGTGATGAAAAAGAAAGTTCGTGACATACATAGAAACAGCAGTCTAAGCATGACAACAAGTAGCAGGTCCCAACAGAAACATATGGCTTCAGTAAACAAAGTAACTAAGTCACCAACAGAAACATATGGCTTCAGTAAAAATATTTGATTAAGCAGATAAAATGCAAGATTTTGATGAAACAATGGACTTCTTTAACAAAACAGAAACATACAACAGTCCTTTAGATTACATCGCAGTTCCTGTATCTGATCAGTACAACAGAAACATACAGCAGTTCCTGTATCTGATCAATAACCAGCAGAAAAATCAGCAACATCTCAGTTTCTGCATGTTTACAACTCAATAACCAGCAGAAAAATCAGCAACATCTCAGTTTCTGCATGTTTACAACTCAATAACCAGCAGAAAAATTCAGTAACACATTACAATACATTGCAATCCAACATAAACAACTAGGTAGTTAAATGTGGGCCTGATTCAAGCTCCTGATTCAAGCTCCTAATTCAAAAGCGCCTGATTCAAACAACATAAATCAGTTTGAGAAACATATAAGCTCCAGCAAGAAGATTAGCCATAAATATGTACTATAATGTGAAAAATAAGACAGAACCATTACCCTCTTAATCTTCAAAAAGATCCACATCTTCACTTGATGACTCATTATCCTCTTGCAAATTTGTATCACCGCACGTAGAAAACCTACATTATAGAAAAATATCCATACATATATACATCAAGAAGGATACTAGAATGTGAAAAATAAGACAACATAAATAATAAAAAAATTATTACTTACGGATTTGTGAGTGCCGGACAATTTCGCTTATCATGTGATTGGCCTACTTTACCACACCCGTGACAACGTCTATCTTTTTTATTTTTGGCTCTAATCATTGCTTTCTCTTTTCCTCCTTTCAACCTTTTGCCGCACCCTTTTGCTCGCACTTGATCGGGTTCATTGAAACTATTTTCATAACTACAAGGACCATGAGCACTAGTACCATCAGTAATTATCTTACTACATATTGGATTACTTTTCTTAGTGAAGCTCATTACAGCCATGTGGCTACTAAGAAATTGATCAATTTGCTCATTAATGCTACGCAATCCATCGGTAAACATCTCCCTTGTTTCTTCACATACGAGGGACTTGTCAACTAAATCCAAAGATGATTGGATAAATTGACTCCGCGTTAAAAGATAAGGATTATCAGGGGTTATCTGCATGCCTTTATCATCATGAACTGTCCCTGATTTTGCAGACTTAGTCCACCTCAATAAGATGTATTTATCAGGCAATATTTCAGCATCAAATTTCATCAAATAAGAGATAATGTGAGTACATACGATTCTGGCGCTTTCAAACTTTTTACAACTACAAGAAACCAAATCCAACTGCTTGTCGTAAACGATTTCGCGGACTTTGCTTGTTGCAAGCTTCTTTCTTTGAATTTGATACACACGGCGATTGTCGGTTTCCCTAACAAACTGCAACTTGTAGTTAAAACTGTCACACACTTCAGCCTCAAACTTGTAATACATCTCATTAGTGTAAATATCAACCATTTGCTCCAAAAAGTCATGATTTATTCTAAGTTTAGGTTTCTCAATCACGTCTTTGTGATCGGCCATCAACTCCTCGTGACGTTGACGCACTAGTCTCCTGCCAAACTGTATCATAAAATCCACCAATGAATTATTCTTCGAAACAAATTTCTTAAAAAATGCATGTCCACTTTCTGCTCGTTGGCTACTTGACATGTCTGCTGAGAAAATGTGATTAACATATGCAGGAATCCATCTTGACCGAAGTTCATATTGATCTTGCAACCACTTGTTTCCTTCTAACCCACTTTTTTTAATCAAACTTTCCCATTGTAAATCAAATTCTTCAGGAGTCTCTGATTTCCAAATGCAAGCCGAGAACTCATTTTTATAAATACTATACTTCACAACATCAATTTTCTCAGAAAACTTCATTAATATATGCCAACTACAATACATGTCAAAAGAATTAAATAAAGTGTTAAAAAAGAAAGGCTATGTATATAAATATTTTTAATAATCTATACAAACAATAATACCTGTGAAAAGTATTTGGAAGAACATGAGGGAATGCCTTTGTCATAGCTGGGTCTTGATCAGTAATAATCATCTTCGGGGCACCACGAGGCATACTTTCCAAAAATTTAGTAAATAACCATACAAAATCATCAACGCTCTCATGATTCAAAAATCCACAAGCAAAAACAACTGTTTGAGCATGATTGTTAACCCCCATTATTGGTGCAAATATCAGGCCATAGCGATTAGTGTTATAAGTAGTATCAAAGATTACAACATCACCGAAGAAATTGTAAGCCCGCCTTGAACTTGCATCGGACCAAAAACAACGAGTAATCTTTTGTTCCTCATCGGCCTCAATTTGAAAAGTAAATGCGGGATTCTTTCTTTGTTCCAGTTTTAAATACTCATAAAACATTTGACCATCATGCCCTTTCAAATCAGCCCGTATATCCCTTTCATGATTATACAAATCTCTTTGAGTGCACCCAATATTTTCTATACCTCCAGATTGTACTCCAAGAAAACTGAATTGTTGATGCTGAGGTATATTCACCATTGATAACTGTTTAGTTAAAGACTTTGTTGCGGCTGAAACGTTACGGTGGGACCTTAAAAGATGAACCTTTGATGGGGTTGATAGCGGATGGCTGTGCTCCTCTTTAAAAATAGTAACAATGTATTTTCCGGAGATCGATTTTAAAACTGCAATTTTGGCATGACAATCTTCAGCTACGCTTCCTCGACGTCTTTTATTTCCAACATCCGCGATTCTTGGAGATTTTCCTTGTTTAAAACAAACATACTCCTTCCTTCTTATTTCACCACTTCCCGGCTCTTTCTGAGTAGTCCAAGCCCTTACACTAAACCCAGCTGCTTTAGCATAAGCATTGTAGAATGTTACAACATCATCTATTGTGTTAAATTCTTGCCCCTTTTTTGGCCTCAACTCATCTGATACTTGAGGAGTATATATCGAACTATCGTCATCCAAGTTTAATTCATATGATTCAGTGTCCAAGTTTTCCATTTCTCATAAAAAAAGTTTAATTGACCTATAAAAAATGCACTGTATATCAAAATTCAATAATTCGAACCAAACAACAATAAATCAAAATTCAATAATTCAGTACATAGGCACATAAAAGAAGATATACAAAGCAAGCAAACAAATTCACACGAGTAAACCCATGGTGGCTAAATCATTACTGTAAGGACATGCACAAACACACATTGTACTAGACTTATTATCGAATTTCAGAAACATGCTCATTGAATTTCAGGAGAACACGTTTACCAAAACACTTCCAAAGACAATAGGAACGTGATATACACTGGCCGGCCAATGTGGACACGGACTACAAGTGAACTACACAAACCCGATCGATTTTCTCGTCATCGACCAATAATCAATACAAAGCACCACTCAAAAATCCGACTTTTAAGGAAAAAAAAACCTAACAAATGATTGAAGAACTCCCCCACAAACTTAATATAAATTACAAAACGAAGAACGAAATAACCGAGGGGAAAAAGATTGGTGTTTTTGAGAAGGAAAACTTACAGGCTGCGGGTGGGCGGCTGATCGAAGAAGAGAAGTTGGGTACTTCGTCGAGGGAGACCAGCAGTCGGCGGCGGAGTTGGGTACTCGTCGGATTTGGGGGTTTCGTCGAGGATTTGAAATCAACAGCGTAGTCGGCGTCGATTTTGGGGGAGCTCCGTCGAGGATTTGAAATCAACAGCGTAGTCGGCGTCGATTTTGGGGGTTTCGCTTACTACGCTGTTGATCGGAGTTGGGGGTTTTGGGGCTCGGATTTGGGGGGGTGACGTTGGCAGAGGAGGAAGGTAGGGAGGGATCTCCAACTCCGACTGTTGATTTGGTTCTCTCAGGGGCGCCGACGAGAGAGAGGGAGGAGGAGGAGTCGGGGCTTTTTTGGGGAGAGAGAGAGAGAGAGAGAGGCTGAATAAAATGGAGTCGGAGACGAAATAAATGGTCACGAGGATCGCACTTGATTTCAATCGCACTTGATTTGTTATTATGCAAAAAAAACCAAAGTCGACCTCAG